AACGTTGGTTAACACCACATCTACACGGTGCCACATCCCAGAAGACTGCTTTCTTCATAGTCAACGCCATGAAAACCTCAAATCTTACAAAACCAACCTAGAGTAATATTATAAGACTATTGTTTTGTTAGCATAAATGTTTAAGAGAGAACAAAAATCTTTTGGGTGTTACACTTAGTGTTCTGTCGTCGGTCCGAACCCACGTATTATATAGGCGTTCAACATAGACAACCGCCATGGAATTCATTCCGTTTGGAGTTTGGTTCGAGTACCTCCACCATATCCCTGCGAGTCGTAGGTAAAAAAAAAAAAGTTAAAGCCATCCCTGTAACAGGCCATGGACGCTCATAGCTTTGTGAGACGTCGAGGCTCCCACATTATCTAGACAATCGGTTCTCAGATGGCGGTAAAGTTGTCAGCCTTACACACCGGCCGCTCTTTACTCCCCAGGAAGATTTCTGGTATTCATTTCTGTTAGAGGCTGAGTCGACGCGAGGGCCATAGTGCGGCTGGAAGGATTAGGTCAATTGAAAAAATCCACCTCACCAGGACTTGCACCCGCGACCTTGCGGATTGTAGCATAGTGCCCCAACCAACTACGCTACCGCGTGCCCCTTTCTGTTTTACGCAAAGTAGAGGTAATGCGGGACCAGTACGAACGAAAATTCATTTCGGTCCGAAAATTTTAGTGTTGACGTGAATGCCGAATATGGCCGAAAACTGATCTGTATTTTTGGAGAGAATGCACATGAACTTAGAGACGGAGATACGTATAAGTAGATGGCTAGACACGACCACCCCATTATGCGATCATTACATGCATTTTAATAATATATACAAATGCACCCAGAAGGGTTAATCAGACCCATTTCCCTTTCGAACAGAATGTGCCTTATTTAGATATCTAAAATCTGGCAACTCTATTTATATCTGTCTTTTTTTCTCTCAACAGTAAATTAAGCTTTGACGTGAAGTGAGTTGTTGATGTGCGTTGTTGTAAATAAGATGACTTATACATAACATTGAGAGGTTGTTGCTTCTTGCACTGTCCTTCAGAACTCGACCCGATAACACTGTTTGTCATGATGAAATAGTTTCACATAAATAATATATTTAACCCCTTGACACACTACTTGCTTTTCAGAACACCTACGACATTGATTAAAATGATTCTAAATAAATCTATTACAAAACCTATACTTAAGTATAGCCATACGTGTTATCCAATAAGTAAAGTATGTCCACCTTCACCATCTACAGCTGCCGCCACATGAAGTGGTGGGAATGTAGAATTCATCAAACCATGCAATTTGGATAAAATATTTTGGGTCACATGTCGGCTGACTTTTTCTTATATTTCATTGGATTTTTATTCTGGGGAATATTTTGAAAATCAACCAAAAAAATATTATTTCATAATTTGGAAATTCATTACGCCATTCCACAAATATTCGTCCTTTACCCACGAAACATATCTGTTATAATTACATTTTTTTTTCAGAAAGATGACGCTTGACATCTCGTTCCAGGCATATTGAGGTGGGTAGGAAAGGGTTGAACTCATAACCTCCTAACTGTGTTAATCTTAAGTTAACGACTGAAATAATTTTACAAAAATTTTTGTGAGTAAATACATTAGTTCGGACATTCTTAAACATTAAGTCATATTTTAGTTAGTTAGTTATTGGAGAGGGTGGGTTTCCCCATGCACTTAGACCTGTATTGGTCCATCTTTGTGATTTCTACCAGTCTCTATATCCTACCGGTACTGGTGCTTACCATCAGTCCCGCCCAGCAAGCGAGACCGGCTCTACTAGCTGAGAGGTATCTATAATGCTTCCCCCATCTACCAGAGGTATTACAGGCTGCTGTTGGGCGGGAAACGTCCGTAATTTGGCTCAGTGACCTCCTTTGGGGATATGAGGTTCTTTTACGTGCCGTAAAGCTACGACACGGGACCCACGGCTTAAAGTCCCTCCCGGAGGACTTGTTCCCTGAATTTTTCCGTCTTTAAAAATTCGATGACCTCCGCCGGGTATTTGAACCCGCGTACTACGAGTCATGAGGTGGGAACGTTACCTCTAGACTACGGAGGCCGCTTTAAGTCATATTTACTTCTATACTTACTCTACCCCTTCATCACCATCATCATTAACAGGATATATGTCAAATCCCGCTTCCAAAATGAAAATTTATTCTCCACATCAGAACCTTTATTATCATTATGAACATCGCTATAATATTTATTAATGTTAATTTTTGAGCTCTTTATGGAAACGAAGAAAATTAAGAACACAATACCAAAACGAAGTTCATTTAAGCTGTCTATGTTAACCTATTCATTTAACCCTTTAAAGGACATTGGTAATTATATGCATTATCTGCTTTAACATTTATAAACTCAGCATCTGAATCACATGTTTTGTATATGGATTTATTCTGATTACTTTTCTCCACGATATTAACCAGTTTTTCTCTGTAATGAAGATACATTTTGTTTTTCGCGATGTAGAAACTGAATTTTTAGATACTACTGACATAAACGTCATGCGTCAAAATGTTACACTATTTTACACAGATTAATTCTTACTGCTAATGATCTGTTCACTTTAAAGTTCACATAAGAACAAATACGCAGAGAAGTACTTTTAACGTAACTGACATTACTTTTAAGAAAAGGAGGAAAGCTGAAACCACGTGTGTTACTGTAAATTATCTCCATTTGATCAAATGAGTGGTCGACAGTATTCTTGAAGTCTTCTCCTTTCTCCCCCTCCTCCTCCTCCTCATCATCATCATCATCTTCTTCTTCTTCTTCATCATCACCAACATAACCATCCTCAGTCATCACCATAACGAATCGGTCAATGTTTTGGGCTGTTTGTGAGTCTATTCAAGGACCATTGCTGGTTTCTTTTCCTACGTGGTCCATATTTCATCTTATGAGGTACATACGACCGCCTCTATGGTCTAGGGTCAGCGTTCCTGGCTACATATCCAGAGGTCTGGGTTCGATTCCCGGCGTTACAAGATTTTTTATGAGAAGTAATGGTAGTTACTATAGGATTCTGACGATGGTGTATAACACACAGAGATATTGGGTTTTCGGACTTTATCCATCGTTCTGGTTTTAAGATAACTAAGAACAACACGACGTTTCGGAAACTGGGTCTGTTTCCGTCCTCACATGAGGGAAAACCCCTCTTCTGTTGGGTCCAGTGATTGAGGCTAGCTCTTTCTAAGGGACCCAACAGAATAGGTGTTTTCCCTCACCTGAGGACGGAAACAGATCCAGGTTCCGAAATGTTGTGTTTTTCTTAGTTATTTTAAAACCAGGACGATGGATAAAGTCCGAAAACCCAATATCTCTGAGAAGTAATGGGTCTGGAACGGGGTCGACTCAGCCTCGTGATGATAATTGAGGAACTATTTCAAGGAAATAGCGTCTCCGGTCTAGAAAACCGAAATTAACGGCCGTGGGGTTTCGTTGCGCTGACCATGCGACACCTCTATCCGCAAAAGTTGGCACGAAACTTCGCCGACAAGCGGAGGTCACTCGGTCGGTATAGTTCGCTTGTGGACTAAAATCACAGAGTTTTTTATGAGGTACCTATGCAAAATAAATCAAGACAATAAAGTTGAATGTGTGCTTTATAATTATTAACTTACCAATAATAGACTTGTATATTTGTTCTAAATAAGAAAGGCAAGATGCAATCTGTGTTCAGCATTAATTTGGGGGACCTCTCGCACTTTAATTCTGTCCACGCGATAAATATCTTACGTCTGTAATGTCTAGTCCACAGTATCAGTCAGTGCAAATTCGGTGATTGGTTCAACTTATTTCCTTATGTGGATTTTCCATGTGGTTCTCATGAATTTCATCCCAGTTATTTTGATGATAATTTACCCTGATGATGCAGGTAGAAGGTTCCACCGAAGTACTGATAAAGTTCTACCAGTATGGATATATATTTAACCTTAGTTTCTACTGGCATTGCTAATATTGAGGACATTTGGGGCGGCTAGAATGCTTCAGATTGTTACTATTCTCATATTTTTATAACATTTTTGCGTTTATTATGGGGTCTTCGATTTTGCTTTTTGAGATCTGATACTTTTGCGTCTTTATCTTTCACTGTCACCATGTAATAAATATCTCTCTACTTTCACAGGTAGCTGCATTACGTACAAGAGATGAACCTACTGAGAAACGTCGGTAAGTGCACATAAGAATTTCATTTACGGCTGTAAAACCTCCTTTCTTAGAAGTTTTGAGTGTTGGTTTATGAGAGCACGATGTTGTTTGCATATCTTTGCATTTATCCATGGAAACAATTAACAAATTTTCACAAAACTTCATATGAGCGTTACGAATTAGAGGACACCCTAACGCCGGTCATTTTACTTCCTTCCCGTCAATTGTAACAACATGGCTGAAGAGCCACCCTTTGTAGTTATCGGGGCAGGACACTGAAATGATATATGATAAGAGATAATGAGAAAAGTATAGCTTTTGTTAAGGTAATCTTTTTGTAGAATATAGAATAGTAACATGGCGATCGTGCAAAGTATTTCTTTACGTTTAGGTTTGATGGCGATGTATAGTGAAATGTAGCTAGCGTACGAAATTCGGTACAGAGACATCTATGATCCATGTATTAGGCGTTTTTCGTGAGTCAGTAATTACAAACATGGCGGCAGTGAAAATCTTTGGATCATATCCGGCAAATATGAAGTGTAGAGAACTGGGATAGCGACTGGCTACGGGCTGGAAGACAGAGGTGTCGTAGTTCGTGTCCCGGTAGGGTCAAGAATTTTCTCTCCTCCACATAGGCCAGACCGGCTCTAGGGTCCACCCAATCTCCTATCCAATAGGTACCGGGGATTCCTTCCCCGGGGGTAAAGCGACAAGGGCGTGAAGCTGACCACTCACCTCCAGCTAGTGTCGAGGTCAAGAAAACATGGATCTATATATCCACTCCCACATACGCCTTCATGATATAGTGCTTAATTAGTTAAGCACAGGGACAACTTTACCTTTATAAAGTATCTACACTTAGTTCTTTGAAGAAATATAGTGATAAAGCAGAATTAGTAATATTAATAATGATAAAAACAATAATAATAAAAAATAGTAACAACAGAGTAATAAGTCTATTGGGCTCGAAATATATGTAACAAAGAAGGCAGGCTGTATCAGTTCACTATATTTGCAACACCTATATATATATATATATACACGTATTATGGAATTATTCCAAGTCTCTTCCATGAGACCAGGTACCCTTAGGAGTTATTCTCGTTCAGCATACGCAATGACAGAAGAAGACCTTAAAATGGGCCACATCGTCCAGAGCGATTCTGCCTTTCGACCTTAGGCCTCAGCAGCTGACAAACTCGTCTAGAATCCTCAATAAATTTAAGTTATCATGTTCTCCGTACAAGCAGGATTCATACTGATAAGTTGTCATTTAATGTGACGGCCTTGCAGAGAGTGTAACTTAGCAGGAGCATTAACCGATAATATTGGCCGTAAGCAAAATAAATTGCACAGTTGGAACATGATCAGATGAAAACATATTTGTGTCCACTACTCCTGCAAATATTGTAGAAAAGAGTGACTACTCAGTCCTGTACATTTGGCTTGTTTATAACGCACATAACATATAGGATTTATTTAACGGCCGGCTTTTAATATGAATTCTGAATTCTTAATTGATTTTTAGTTGTGTACTTTCTTTTCACGAAGTGCACGCAATGAATGCATAGGCAAGTGGCGTCTGGCCGTTCTTGTACTTCATCTCCGGAGTTACTGAATGTGTGTCTGTCCAATGAATCCCATGTTCTGGATACGCACTACATGTTTTCGGGTGAATCTACACACACGTACACACACACACACAACACACAATAGGGGACGGTGTTATGACTGTGTATGTGTTATCTGACTATGTACAGTACGTAAGGTAAAGCTATCCTTGTAACAGGCTGTGGAGGCCCATAAGGTTGTGAGACGTTGAGAGTCCCGCATTTTCTAGACAATCGGCTCATAGATGGCGGTGAGGTTGTCAGCCTTACGTGCCGGCCGCCCTTTACCTCCCAGGAAGATTTCTGGTAGTCAATTCTGTTAGAGGCTGAGTCCACCCCAGGGCCATAGTGCGGCTGGAAGGATTACGTCAATTGAAAAAATCCACCTCATCAGGTCTCGAACACGCGACCTACCGGCTTGTGGCATAGTGCCTCAACCAACTACCCTACCACGTGCCCCCTGTCTATGTACGTATATACTCCTATATCATGTTATTATTATAAACAGTACGAGAACCAATGGGCAACAATTATGGACATTCTATCTGAGAACAGCGAAAAAAGAATGCCCAAAGTCATGTATAGAGCTCTTAAGGCAGATTTCTGCAAGGCGTCTGTCACTTCATAAACAACATTCCTATATTCATATGCAATAGTTATGTAAGAAAATTAAAAGAAGTGATCGTGCAATAACAGTGCACTCTCAGATTTAAGTTCAGATATATATTAATAATCGCGGGGAGACCGCCGTAATAGAGTAAGATATTTATAAGAATGTGCTACAGAGGGCCGGATGGGCATTGCCTAGGCCTTTCTTTTTTTCTTTTTGTATTTATAATNGATGAATCCCGCCTTCTGGGATGTGGCACCGTGTACATCTTGTCTGAACTGACGTTTCGGAGGAACGTATCGCCTCCATTTTCAGGGTAAGAAATCGAGCGAAGATCTCACCGTGAGCAGGTGGCTACAGTCTGCAGCCACCTGCTCACGCTGGATCCTCGCTCGATTTCTTACCCTGAAAATGGAGGCGATACGTTCCTCCGAAACGTCAGTTCAGACAAGATGTACACGGTGCCACATCCCAGAAGGCGGGATTCATCCAACAAGTGTTTGATCTTAGAGGGACAGAACAAAACAAAATTTGAATAACAAAATTCAGTGCCGACCCTCTAAACTAGATTTAATCGAAGTGCAGTTGGTAGTATCGGAGATATAACACATAGGCGGGTAGATAAACACGACCTCTCCGTTGTGCATTAGTTTCATGCAGTTCTTGTAAAGAACGCAATACTACATCAAACCACTGGCCGGACTCGCGCTGAAACGGATAAGATAAGCAGACAGCGTCATGACTGTAGGTTACATAAGATACCAGGCAGCACCGAACAAGTCCTCAGTTGTGATTCGGAGTTTCCATTGGAAGGAATCTAATATAGGGAGTGAGGCCTTCGTGAATGAGTGATGCGATGCCGGTGTGTGCTAGTGAGAAATTGCCGCCGCAGCACGGAGGAGAAATGACTCCTGCTAATGGATATGCCAGAAATATTGAAGGGGGTAGTGGCAGCAGTTCTCTGCACAGTACTTCTCCCCCGTCGCCTAACTCGCCAATATCAACCCCGCCTGACTCGGGTTCGCCAGCACCTGCTTCTCCCACTATCCGGAAGAGAGGTCTGCAACACACCGTTTCATCTGGCTACATCTCCATATCGTCGGTGCGACATCGTTTGAATCACATTGCAAGCAGCCCTACCTTCAGCAGACCAACTTCTCCGCTTGCTGCTCAGCATCAAGAAAAGCCTCGACTGGCAGGATTCATCGGATGGTACCCGACGTTAGTTCTGAGGTTCATCCAAAACTTAATCTCCACAATAGCCTACCTCATTTGGAGCCAATTCATTCTGTTAGGACCAACGCTATGGATTTCGGCTTGGCTGTGGATCTTCTGGAAATCCATTCAGCTTCCTCTGACAATCATCAAATGGCTGTTGACTCTTCTCCATACTCCAGTGTCTGAACGCGGACGGAAGAAACGCACCGTTCTCATCAGCGGAGGAAGCACAATCCAAGCTCTGCACCTTGCACGAAATTTCTATACAGCAGGGGCTCGAGTTGTGGTCTTTGAAATCGAAGGCCTGTTCGGGCTTGCAAGGTTCTCGACAGCAGTTCAGAAGTTCTACACAGTGCCTCGACCTGAACCACATCATCCTCAAAAGTATGTGAAAGCATTGTGTGACATAGTTGAAAGCGAAAACGCGTCGTATTTTATTCCCGTAAGTGCGACATCCACTGCTTACTACGATGCCCTTGCTAAACCTCATCTAGAACTTCTGGGGTGTTCCTGCTTCTGTCCAGGAGTAAAAGAAGTGTGGGTGCTGGATGATATTTTGGAGGTTCTACAGCATTGCCAGGGGGCTGGTATTCCAACTCCAGTTCACTATGCTGTTTCATCGAAGGACGAAATTACGAGGTTGTATAACAGCGGTCTACTGCGGACTGGAAGACACGTGATGGTCAGTGTCGGCCCTTGGGGATGCAGGGACAAGCTAAAAGTTGTCATACCGGCCCATCGCCAAGAATTCAAGGTAACTCATGAGATAAGCGAGCAGAGACCATGGGTCATAATCCAGGATGTGCCGGGCCAACATTTTCTCACTTGCACCACAGTGAAAGAATCTCAGGTCGTGGCAAATGTCACGTGTCACGTGAATAAAGACAGTGGAGGGCTGGTACCTGTAGAGAATCAAGAGGTTTCCTACTGGTTGAAGAACTTCTTCAGCAAAGTCCGGGTTCTGCGACAGGTGACGGGACACGTGAGTTTCCGGTTTGTGGTTTCAGATGCGGATAAAACGTTGATTCCAATGAGCTGCCGTGTTGGAGTGTCCATGCCTTATATCTGCTACACAAGTGTACACCCACGTATCGTGTGGAAGCCGTGCAAGCATTTCAGCCGTCAGAACTCGGGGCCTCTTGTGGCTGACTCGGGCAGATACTGGATGCACGAGGCCGTCATGAACACCTTGAAGCATCCAAGCGTGGAGGCTGTGGGACGCCTTATAGGAACAGTGCTTGACAAGCGGGAGGCGCTCTTCGTGTTCTGGGATCCACTCCCGTACTGTGCATACTATCACATTCAGCTGCCCTTCAAAAACGTGCTGGCCTTTGTGCAGGAGCACTACGGGCGGAATGGCCGGAATGGCTTCCAGTATAAAACTATGACCGCCCCTGTACATTGAATAATACAACGTAAAGTACTCATTCCCAAATTTTATGTCTCAAGAAATCCTTGGGGCACAGGTTATTTATTGACACTCTACGAATATAATAGTTTTACGCCCTGTGAAATGATAGGATAATATATATGGTGAGTGGGAAAGGATTAGCAAGGAACGGGCCGTGTCTTTTAACCGGGTATATCTGAGTAAAACTAAGAACCGACATGATAGCCGGTACCTCTGCCGACACGCGAATCGGGATCTTCCCGAGAGAAAGACGGGAGATTTAGTGGATTTGCGGTGGTTTACAAAAACCAAACATATAAAAAAGTATATAGATTTTATATGTGTGTATATGCTGGTGTAATTTGAATCTAGGTTACAAAAGAGTACGTTTTAATTTGCTGTTCCCTTTGAATGTTTTATAGAACGTTATTTTTGTTTCTTAGTATGTTGAGTTCTGTCGTTGCGCCAGCTGTCATCGCTTTCAAAGAGGATCCAACTTGTACAAGACTGTATAAACGTTTAAGGGCGACCGCACACCAACTGCGTCAAGACAAGCATCAAGACAGTGGAAAAAAGGACGCAATCTTGCTTCATTCGTGATTCGTCAGCATGAAGCTGACGTCAGCATCATGACTGAGATCGGTGTACGGCGGTTTTCATAATCTCTTTCTTTTCAACTGTGTTCCTTTCTTTGCGTCATGTCGCAGACATCGTGTCTTGATTGTTACATGTCTTGACGCATGCCGGTGTGCGGCTTACCTAACTGCTCAGGGATCAGGAGTGTTAACTGGGTGTCAAGAAATAGAGAGACCTATGCGTAACATAGAAATATCAGAAGAAAATAAGTTATTTGAAAAGTACTTTAGTTCTATAACTTCTCAAGGAAGACGTTCATGGTGTTGAACTGGAGAACCGCTGTCTTGAAATGAAACACTTCCAATTTAGTCTTACCTTAAAAGGGACAACGGGGGCAGAAGTTATTTCATTGCGTCATCTAATATATAAGTCGCCCTCTAATACAAAACCCTGTCCAGGTACGGAAAGAGATGTGATACGTACTGAAATAACGTAGTTATGCTTAGCAGAGACTTGGTCATAGGGATCTTACAATGAACTGATCCCTCATCTAAGGAAACCCGGTTCTGCGCGAGTGGTATTTGGGAAGCCACTATGATCAGAGGAGACAGATCTGAATGTAGCACAAAATGAAGAGAGAAATCGAGTTTTTCTCGAATTAAGCAATGCATTTTTTGTTTTAGACTTGTTGGCATTAATAACGATGGGCCTACAATTGCAGACAAGCTAATAAGCTCCTGTTAGCTGTTCGTCATTCGATTGATAATGCTTTATAGTATAGTTTGTTTTCATATTTTTGTGTATATTTTGATGAGCATAAGAATGTTGCGATTGTAATTTATCATTATCTGTTTAAAAGAAGAAGAGTGACTTTATATTATCAGGTTAAGTAATAGCACCTTTCTGACTAATAAAATGTTAATGGAAGGTTAACTTTTTAACTTTACAGCATTTTACTTTTTTAAGCTGAAAAATCTCGATTTATTATTATGTATATAGTGATGTTGTTTTCGTTTGTTTTACCTTTATTTTCCTGCAGGTCTTGCAGTAATATTACATAATTCCATTGTTTATGAAAATCTCAAAACCGGTCACTACGTGTTATCATGAATAATACAAGAAAGGCTGGTGCAACCCGTTTCCAGATTAGCTTCTATCGATCCTTAGTTCTTCCTAGATTGCATTACTGATTTAACTCACTACTTACGTATTTTTAGATTTCTAATGGTTGAAATTATGTGTTTCATACTTTCTTAAATACATATGAAAATATTTTGAAACTGAACGTTCCTACAGAATTTTTATATTTTTTATGTACATAAGAGCGATTAATTAGTTTTTATGAATATCTACACGTTAATGATTTTGTTTATAAATTAGTCTACGAAATTTTCTTCATGAGAACTGTTACCTAGACAATTTTCATAAGTGCTCTCATAATATCGGGGGATGTGTTAATAATTATACGATGATGTAATAGCTATTGAACTTATGTAAACATGACTGAGGTACAGGCCAAGTGCGTCTGCATAAAGGTACTGATAATTTTGTGTTCCACAATTACGCTTTTACTACATATTTTCATAAGTTTGTGAGATTCTGGATTCTGGAGCCATGTTGTTTGGCAAATAGTTATTAATGTTTTGAACGAATCTGCTGACTTCATCTTCAGATCTACTTGAAGATGGCACCAACCTGCTAAAATACACGGTATCGCATTCCAGAAGGCCACAGTTTTACACCAGTATTCACCACTGTGAGATGCTCAGTCTCCTATGTAGCAAACAGAATTCCAACAACGTGGTCTTCAAGATTCATATTTCTAATCGTCCTGGTGCCAGTTTTGGGCTTGTAACCCCGGCACCACTTGGCGAATTTCGACGAAGTTTAGTACCGAAGCCCTGTAACTGGAAAATTTAATTCTGATACTGTTTAGTGAAAATCCCCACTGTACATGAAGCCAAATTTAAAAATCTATAAAATTTGCCTGGAACCTTCTTTCATTCAGTCGGAGGCGTATGAATTGAAATGTAGAGCTCGTTAATATTCATATAATTTATTTGAAATAATTTTTATTAATTTTGTTTATTAATTACTTAATAAAATTAAGTTTGTTTAACTACGCTCTGCTCAAGTGGTAACTTTGTTTTATGTATGAGGGCGGTGGACATTTCGAATTTTGACTGCGACATCGGCTATTCTGGCTGAGGTTCTCCGTGGTTTTCCTGAGTCGCTCGGGCAAAGCGGAAATAATTCCTTAAAACAGGAGACGCTCGCTTCATTCCATTTCCCTTCCAATTCATTATTCACTGTCATTTCAATTTTACTGATCCTGTCAGCAGCTCAAACTGTCGAATAACTGGGTAGCAGTGAATAACGAATTGGAAGGCATGTGGGGAAAAGAGATTGCGGCCCGATTTTTGGCCTGAAAGCCCTGAGGAAAACCACCAACAAGAATCCGTCAGCAATTTCCTGGTCGACATTCGAATCCGGTAACCCCTCCCTCCCGGATACATATAAGATTTGACACAGCTTGAGCCAAATTTCTCTTGTGGTAACTGTTTAATGAAAGAATAGAAAATTCTATATTTTCTCACTGTGAGTGTGAAGCATGAGTACCTCTGTGGTCTAGTTGTCAGGGTTCCTGGCTACAGATCCAGAGGTCCCGATAACTGAGGAGCAGTTTCAAGGAAATATCTGCTCCGGTCTAGAGAACCGAGATTAACGGCCGTGGGAATCTGTTGCGCTGACCACGCGACNATCCGCTCAGCCCCTTGAGGATAACTGAGGAGCAGTTTCAAGGAAATAGCTGCTCCGGTCTAGAAAACCGAGATTAACGGCCGTGGGAATCTGTTGCGCTGACCACGCGACACTCTCTTTCAGCAAAAGTTGACACTAACTTCGCCGACAGACGGCGGTCGCTCGGTCGGTATAGTTCGCTTGTGGACTACAGGGCACGGAATTTGTTTTGTGGAGTTTGAAGCCTGTAGCCTTGAGATGTTGTGTTTGTATCTACAGTAACATATCTGCTTCTGTCAAAATGAAAGTCATGCACAATGAGGTACAAGAATCATAAAGAAAGATTCCAACACATTTTTCCGATTCTTCTCTTTAATGCATTCAGATGGAAGAGCGTTATCCTCAGATGTTAGAGTCTCATCCGCATCCAGAGAGTTCTGTCGACTAAGCAAATGCGATTTGGAAAACCTCTGCAATGCTCGAATACGAACGCAGCCCTGATAAGAACATTAAAATGGTTATTGTGTGTGGAATGGCCGAGACACTGATGAGTCTATTCGGTAAATTGTTTACAAAATAGTCCCTTTTCAGAGAAAACGTATAAATACTGATATAAACATTTCAAATAGAAAAAAAAACATAAATTTGAAGTAGGGGCACTCGGTTGCGTAGTTGGTTGAGGCACTATGCTACAAGCCGGAAGGTTGCGGGTTCGAGTCCCAATGATGTGGATTTCTTCAATTTACCTAATACTTCCAGCCGCATTATGGCCCTGGGGTCGACTCAGCCTCTAATATAAATGAATACCAGGAATCTTCCTGGGGGGTAAAGGACGGCCGGCGCATAACGCTGAACTTACCGCCATCTATGAGCCAACAGTCTAGAAGATGTGGGAGCCTCGACGTCTCACAACCCTATGGGCCTTCACGGCCTGTTAGAGGGATAGCTTTACCTTACCTTTATTGTATCAGTATCTCGTGGCAATTTGTTGTGTAGTTCTTTGCAGGGACGGCCATTGTGAATCACCAGTAACTTTAATACTTCGAATGCATTTTGATGCCATGTTCTCTTCATTGAATAATCGAGAAAACAGAGAACTCCCTCGTGATTAGATTACAGTGCCAAAGTCTTCCAATTAAAACTGTCCTTGAATAGCCTGCGTGTCATTATTCCGTCTGACCTTCCACCTCGAGAGACAGCAAACAGTTTGGACTGAGATAATTTCCAGTCAGAATGAGCAGGTTGACGTAGCAGCAAAGCTCTAGACATGTATTTGGGAGGTGATCGGTTCTAATCTCGGCTGGGACACCGGATATCTTGAGGTATTAACGTTGTTTTTCTCAGTCCTTCCCGGAAAATGCCGGAATAGTACTTGATTAAGGCATGAACACTTCCTTTCGCATCCCTTCCAGTTCATTATTCATCTCTCATACCACCATTAGAGGCTGTGTAGTTTGAAATGCTTAAGGCGACGCAAAATAAGCAACCACAGCCACATTAAATCGGTGGCATATGATTGCACACCTCGGAACAACAGGAACAAATCATGATTGATGACGTAACTAAAAGAAGAATAAATTCAGTACATGGTTGTCATCATTCACTTTAATAGGTGTTTTGCGAAAGGGGCATGCGGTAGCGTAGTTGGTTGAAGCACTATGCTACAAGTCGCGGGTTTGATTCCAGGTAAGGTGGATTTTTTCTTTTTCAATTTACCTATTCCTTCCAGCCACACTATGGCCCCGGGGTCGTCTCAGCCTCTAACAGAAATGAGTACCAGGAATATTCCTGGGGGGTATAGGGCG